ATATTATAATTAATATTAATAACACAATTATAACAATAATTATAACTATAAATATTTGTATAAAAATAATATTAATATATAATAATTTAATATAATTTAATTTTATTTTATTTTGTATTATATTTATATATTATAATTTATTTATATTTGTTATTTATTTAATTTTATTTACATTATGAAAGATAATATTATTTATTATAATATCATAATTTAAATATATGAGAATTCTATTTATAAAATTCATATTTTAAAAATTGAAAATTATTAATATTCTGATTTATACGATAAATTAACAATAAATATTATTATTTACTGGCATTTTGAAATTTCGCAGTTTGTTTTTCGCGGAAAAAATATAAGAGTATTAAATCTGTTTCCAATGCGTCTGGTCGAATGATTCAGAATTCTGCTCCGAAACAAGTCGGTGCAGGTTCAGTCTTGTCGAACCGGACATACCTGGCGCATCTTCAAAGTACCTACTGACGTGTTGCTAAGTCGAATGTATCGTTTGTGTTACAGAAGATTGTCTGATGACGTTAGTTTCGTGATATACATATAGCGGTCTTTAATTTCAAATGTATCATTCAATTTGCTGCTGTGCTTTAATGTATGTATTGTATGTATATATGTATATATATAGATGATGTGTTTTGATTTCGAAATTTATTTCTCATAAATATTAATTCTAACCTCCTTATTTTTATATAAAATAGATATTGTATTTTATCTTTTACTCCTTCTTTTGTTTTATTTTTTATTTTTTTTTACAAAAGAAAAAGTATTTATTTATTTGTAAAAAAACGTCAATAATTTTAAAAATTCAAAAAAAAGATGATCTTAAAAAATATTCTGTATAATATATTGATCCCTAATATCATTCAAATTACGTAATATATTCCTTATACTTGCATAAAATATTTTTCATATCAGAAATGGAAGAGTGTATTTGTTTAAATGGATCATTCTATATTATGTGCACATTTAAGTTTCATAAATATTTTCTTTTAGCAAGATTAATTAGGAAGATTTTAATACGAATTTAATTTAATAAATCGATCCATTATTAATTCCATCCTCTTATAGATGTCACTACTATGTCTGTGACTTCATTATTAGCACACTGTTCAAATTATAATTCGTGCTATTTTATTTATTAAATAATTTTTATTTAAATAATCAGAGAAATATTATTATAAGCTATATAATAATATAGCTAATATTATTATAATATAATAATAGTTTTGAATCTAATTATGAATTGTATTATAAACTGTAATAATCAGTATCTATTATTTATCATATAATAAATATTAGAAATAAATTGGTTCCATTGTACATTATTATAAAAATCTAGTAAATTTTTTATATGCTTAATGATTGCTGAATTTTCATGAATTTTTGTCGTTTTTGTATTTTTTTAATGTTTAATTTTTTATTTTTAATATATGATTATTTTATTAATATTTATAAGAAAATATAATATACATACATATATCGAATATTAGAATAATATAATACTTTTTCTTCTCTTGAATGTTTTCTATATGCATGTAATTATATTGTGTATATTTTTATATTTTGAATATAATTATATTTTATCAAACATATGCTCGTATTTTTTATATTAGTGACCTCATATAATTAACGCACATATATGAGATTAATATAATATATAAATCAAATCTTTCTCTTAAATATTTATTTCTTTATTTCTTAATGTAAAACATCATTAAAAATTTAATTAATATCAAAAATTTTAAATTTAAAAAAAATAGAAGTAAAATTAATTACTAAAATAAATGTTATAATATATTTTTATTCGTAAGAATATATATACATATATGTATATATATGTAAATTAAATATCAAATATTTAATTTTACGATACGTTATTATTAATTTAAAACATACGAATCAGCGTTATGTGCAAGGAATGTACGAATCAGCGTCACATATTAAACTTAGTTATGAATTATATGTAAAATTTTTTATATATATTACCAGTATATTATAAAAATTTTTAACTCGTAAATAAAATCTATATAATTTAAAATATATATATTATAATTTAAACAATTTTTTTTTTATATATTTTTTATCAGCATTGACTTTTATTCGTTATTCATCGAAAAATTACAGTTTAAGTTTCAAATTTTTAAACTATCAAAACATAACAATATACACAAAAAAAAAGACAAAAGAATTCAAATCAAAAGCAAAATTATGATAATTTTTAACTTACAATATAATGAAGTTTTCTTTAAATGCATCTATGATGATCTACTGCTCATATATTACATATTTTGTACTGAAAATGATTTATCAAAAAATAAAAAGAAGTAATTATTTCTTATTTTTTAATTTTTCAAGAGTGAGAATTAATGTATCATAAAATTAAATGAATATATCAATTAACTCTATAGATTTATTAAATTTCACTTGTATTTTAGATAAAATAATTAATGATAAAAAATATGATGATTAATGATTTGCACATTAAGTGTTTTAAATTTTTTAATATCAAAAATTATCTAATTGAGGATTATCAAAAAATAATTGAAATTCAAGTTTGTAGGCAGATAATAAAATAGATTTTATTATTTATACAAACTTATTTTATTTATATGTACATATAATGTACTTTTCTATTATATTATACTTTTCTTTTTCTTGCCAGTCTAATAAAAAAAAATATTGTAGTTTCTTATTAAAATTGTTATACATAAATTATGTAAGTCTTATCCATAAGAACATCCTAAAGTCTGCATAAAAGTCCATTTTATTAAAAAAATCCAAGTATATCAAAATTGTCAATGTTTGTCATTTTCCACGTCCTGTACAAAAAAATAGATAATTATTTGATTTATATTTTTAATAAAACTTAAATATATTCAAATATAATAAAAATAATTGATGAATTTTTACAAAATTACCTTTTCCCAAAGGTGATTTTATGTCTGTAGTTTTTCTTTTATAGTTTATGCCTCTTCCTCCTATAATAAAAAATAAAATGAAAAAAAGATTAAAAATCTAATCACTCTATACATTCTTTACTCCACAATTAAAAATATAATAAAAGAAAAAAAAATTGAAAATCTAATTATTGTATAAATAATACCATGAAATTTTTAAAATAAAAAATATTAAACAATATTTACTTAAAATGTCAATAAAATTCAGCTAAAATTATTTTTTTATTTAATTTTTTTTTTTTTAATACTTTGGAATATATTTAAAAATTAATTTTTAGAAATAAATGACTCACTAATTGGCGGGAAATCATTAGGATTTAATGCGTCGCTTGTACTTTCTTGTGATCCAAGAAGAGCTTGAGCTGAAATATTATAAAATATTTATTTATAATAATTATATAATTTATTGAATTATTTTATATAAATATATGTAATACTTACGCATCGTTTTTGGTGTACGCAATGGACGTGTTGGAATATTTAGCTAAAAGTTTATTTTTATATTATTTTGATTAATTCAAATAATTATACATATTAATATTTAATATAATAATATTATAATTAATATAATAATATTAATACTTACTGCTGAATTATCCAAAGTAGATGTACTAGCTTTACCATGATCAATTATGTCCAATGGTTTACACTCATTACGTCGTCGTTGTTCAATACCGTAACTTCGTTCAGATACAATACTCCTGTGATCTCCAGATACCTAAAATTGTAATTAAAAAATATTTAACAAAACATGAATATTTGTTAGATAATTTTGTGTAAATAATTAAAATTAACAATTTATTATTTATAGCTTACTCCATTCATTTCAAGAACTTTCAACTTGTCACTAATGCTCATATGCTTCATACGTTTATCAATACCAGAAGCTTCTTTTCTACTTTTTTTTTCTTGATCACTAGATTGTAGAAATGGGGTTTCTTTTGGACGATGCACACCTTCAATCAATTGTATATTTAAATATTCACAACAATAATCACATATTGTGAAACCCCATCTTTTTACTACAGATTTGCTACAGTATTGAGATATATCAATAATTTTATGAAACTATAAACAAGCATAAAAAAAATTATTATTACTAAACAGAAATAGATAAATGAATGTAATTTATAAAAATATTTTTTATTCTTACATCACACTCGAAGCCACGTGTATTGCATAAAAAATCTTTCGAAAATTCATTTTCTGCAACAATAAGAGGAATACTACGATCGTCAACCTTTTGCACAGCAGCATTTCGCAATGCTCCAAATAAAGCTTCTATCGAATAAATTATAAAATCATCAAGCGATCCATCTGAAATATTATATTATAAATTGTATTAGAAATATTATTTTTTATATCATTTAATAGTATAATATTGATTTTTATTCTTACTGCTAGCATCAATCATTTTTATTAGCAGCGATTCCACAACAGGAGTCAAGTCTTTTGCAGTGAATAATGGAGGAAATTTATTTCCAGTCTTGTTTGATTCTAAAAATTTGGTCAACTCATTAAACATATATGAAAAGTCACTTTGTCCATCTTCTAATTCTATGGGGATTTGGTGCGTTTGTTGACTAGTTTCAATTGCATCTCTTTTCCATCCTAATGGTATTTTCACTTTCAGCACTTCATGATATATTTTCTCAACACCATTTTCAAGGCTAAATTGAGCAACTGCAAATTCTGCTGGACAAAACTCACATTTATTAATTCCTATTTCCCTTTTGTAGAACCAGTTTACATGTATAAATATAAATTTTAATTTTTGTAAATCTGTAACAAATGTTATTAAATAATTAATCAATATTTTAAAAAAAAAGATTTAAGAAATTTAATATGAGATACATACTGTTATGTAATAAACCCATAGATACAACAGAATCTATGTATTGTAGCATTTTTTGTTGGAACTCTTGTTCTCTTTTTGCAATTAATTCTACTTCAGTCAAATCTTCTCCAATTGTAGTCTTCTTACTCATACTTCCTTGAGCTTTAATTTTGTTATCTTTTGCTTTGGCAATATAAATTCCTTTTTCTTGTGGTGAAATATTCTACATAAGATTATAAAAAACAATTATAATTTAATTAAATTGTCATTAAAAATTATAAATTCGACATATATTTTTTAATGTTACTTTAAATTTATATTTAATAAAACAAAAATCTTATTTTGTTATCTTATTACAGTTAAAATGACCTTATTGTATGTTTACATTCAAAATGAATATTTCCTTGTGAAATGAAAATATTGATATGTTGACATAATATTTAAAACGAAATATTTTAATAATGAAATGTATGTGATCTTTTAGAATAATTCATTATTTTAAATAAGTAATCGAATTCAATTTTTAAAAGTTATCTAAAATTATATTATAAAAAAATTATATAAATTCTTACCTTCCAATCTTCACTGCATCTTGGATCCGCTGCAACATCTTTTAAACTATTAAAAATTTCACCACGTCGTTGTTGTCGTCTTTGCCAATCGAGCATAAAGAAATAAAATGCGTTTTTTGACATATTGTATTGTAAATTGTTGCAGACAGGTGTTGACCATGTGACTCGACAAGACTGTTCGTTTGTTTGAACTTACAATCGAATTTTATAGTATCCATAATCAGTT